TCCTCACCCCTCCCTGAGAAAAAAAAAAAAAAGCTCACAGAAACCACTGACATTCCCTGCAGTCAGTATGGATTTCACAAGGTTCCTACTCTCAGTTGCTTGTCAGAATGCAAAACTAGTTAATCCTCTTAAAATAACATAGCAAGCTAATTTCTTAAATGACATTTTAGATTTACTGACAATAAATGTTATCTAATTTCAGTACCTTGCTAATTTCCACCATGCTTTCATGAGATCTGGACACTAACATTAGAACATTAGATGTGTAAAACCCACAGAATGGTTGCCAGTATGAAGCATTCTCAATATGTAACACCTTATTTTTCAAGCCAGAGACCCTGAAAATAATTAAACATGAGGTAAAAGTAGAGAACATCCCACTTTCAAATTTTTATTATTTAATACAGGTTTTGAAATTACTTATCATCATTTAAAGACTCCAATTAACCCAAAATAGGAATGTCAATGTTTTTATTTGAAAAAACACCTCTCCTAACTGCTCCTTTTCTCTTTGTCTCCATTATTCTTGTTAGAATGACATCAGCCGTAGCTAAATAAATTCAGGCTTGCTTTATTCTAAAAAACAAAATTTTTAAGCCACAGGATAGCACATTAACATCACGATGCTTTGTTTATCCCACTGCAAAAGTCTACAGTTTTGCTGTTGTCTGGAGATCCAACTGCAGATAGTTACAATGACCATGGAATCAGACAATACCTTAACTTAAAAATTATTTTAACTCCTCACCCCAAAACCTGAACCATTATTCTGACATTTTGTTGAACTCAGATTAGAAAGATTTTAGCCACAACCATACTGAGCTAGTCAGTAACACCTACTGGTCCAGCTATTTGGCACTGTCTTCTAGCTAGCACACACTTAAATAAAATCTTAGATCAGTTTTAAGCTCTGAAACAATCATCATCTGCTATTTATCCTAGGATAAAAAACTGACACCTTCCTGTCAATGGAAACAAACCATTACATTCCTCTAATAATATCTGTGAGTGGCACATCCATACTTCAGCCTGCCTCTCACATGTCAGCCTGAACTAAACTCACATTTCCCAGAACCATTTATGAGCTTCTTCTACTGTGGAGCACTGTAAAACCACTTTCTCCTCTCACAGACTCACTCTTAACCCTGCCATCATATTCTGCTTCGTATTTCCACACAAATAACTCCAGTAGTGTCTGTGCCACTTCAGTTGCAGGGCATTTCTAAAAAGTCTTTTTTTTTTTTTTTTTTTTTTTTTTAAACACATGTGGGAGGCCAAACCCATTCCAGTTTGCCTCAGCACTGAATTTACAGAACATACACTGTGCACTTCCTACTTTAGTGGACAATAACTTGTTTGGCTTGTTAAGAAGAGCTAGGAAGAGTTTCTCCCTACACCTTAACTTCTCCATTGGCTCTCTTTTCCTCAAAAAAAAACAAACACGAATATCTCATTCAAAGCCAGTTCAAAAACCAAACCAAACCAAACCAACAGAATAACCCCCACAAACCAAAACCAAGAGAGAGAAAGTATAAGCAGCAAAAAGCAAATTCAGGCGTCTGTAGTGTTAACCCATCAGTCCATCCTGTGGTACTCCTCCTGCAGCAAATAGTTTCCTCATCTAGTAGCGTGATCACTACTTCAGTCAATCTCCTCAAACCAAGATGAGTCAATTTTCACCCAGTTATACCTTAAACACAGAACACCACACGGCATTTTATTTAAACCTGTGTTTTTTAGCCTTTCAAATCTTAGGGCAATATAATTCATTCCACATCTGGATGGATACTGCAACACCTAAAGTACTGCTACAAGCATTATCACAATCCCAAGTGTATACCTGTTTCTTAAGTAAAAATAAATTCCTCCCCCTTTTCTGCAGCATAAGAAAAGGTTCATTGATCTGCAGATCAGTGTCCTGCACAGAGGATCAAAGGGCACTCACAAGACCCTGGGACAGTCACATCAAGTCAGAACTTTAAATCACTTATAAATATAGCAGAAAGCATGGTTTTAAAGCAGGACACTAAACTTTTATAAAATGCATTCAAACTCTATGTAATTTCTACAAATAAATACATTTAGAAAACCAGAATTATTAAAGGACTGAGTAGTGACTGTTTGAGGAAACTCATGTTAAAAGACTCTTTTGCCTGTCATTGCAGTACTCTAACATCTTCCCCAGTTCACTGACCTTTGTTTCTACACATAGAAATACCCAACACAAGGACCTAATACCAAGCTGGAGCTTGATTCTGACTGAAGCAGCTGAGTGTTGAGTACAATGCTCAGATCACATCCTTAACAGCTCAAGATAAATCTTGCCAAATTATTTGGTAGTTTATTTGGTTTTCCTGCTTTTACTGTAGTTAAACATCAACTAAAAATGCCAAAAGTAGTGTTATATTGCTTAGATTTCTGTACCTTTCTGTCTCCCTGAGATTTGCATACACAGTAATTCAGAAAAAAAGATCAGAATAAAATTATGCGCTTTAAATAAGAAACATCCTAAAAGTCAGGGTTCTTGCAGACATTCATGCTATTAGCCTTCGTTAAGACTCATTCATATTAGCCAGGCATGTTTTCACTACTTCCTTTCTTATTTTTATTTTATTAAAAAAAAATAAAAACAAAAAACCACAAACCAACATGTGATTAAGCCATGATTTAAGTTAATGGCTTCCATTATTTGTTTAAAGAAAAAAAAAAAAAAAACAAACAAGAGGTAGTTTGAGAAAGGTCCGACTGCACATATGTTGCAACAGCTTTTCAATCATTTGAAAGACTTCTGGTATGCACAGTTAGCTCACTAATATAACAGCAGAACAGACACCATTCCACATAGCTGGTACAGTATATTTGTCAATAATTTCCATATTAAGTAGTTCTTGACAAGACAGGCTGAAATAGAAATGATCTGTAGGAACTGAAATGAATGCAAGCACCCAGAATTCAAAGCTGAATATACACACTTTTGGTTAGATGATGAAGGTTCCATAAAAAAAAAATTTAAAAAAAAAATTAAAAAAATCAAAAACCCCAACAACAACAAGAGTAGTAAAATGTCTCATCTAGAAAAAACGAGGAAATAGAAAACTAACAATGGTACCAGCATTACGACACCATGCCTCAGTACTGCAGATTTTTCACAGCAACACGGATCTCAGGTAATCTATACAGTGTAATACTTCAAGAACAAAATAAAGAGAACAAGATCATCAATTCCAAACATTTCAAGAAAGGAAAGAGAAAATTAAAGATTTCTCTGGAGAGTCCTTTAGAAATCACATTACAATGAGCTCAAACTAGACTCCAATTTTCAGCACTTTATTTAAAAGAGAATTTTCTCCATGGCATTTTCAAGAATTTTGTGACAGATGTTGCATGGTCCAGTCACATGGCAAAGTGCTAAAAGCCAACCACCTCAGCAGAAATAAAAGGAAACATCAGGATGCTAGTGTCAACTCAACCAGTTTAACAGACACTATCTGTTCAGAAGCAGCATGCTAAAATTTGTTCAAAGCCTCCTCTAATCTGACATCTATTTATAGCTGCTCAGCCTCCCTACAATTTCTCACAGACCCTCCTCATCTCAAAACCAAGTCAGGGAAGTTTAATGGATATAATCCTGGGCCTTGTGCTGCAAGATGATCAGAAGATCTGCAACTCTCCTCCATGTGCAGGAAGACCCAGAGAAATGAAAAGGTTATGGTCTCAACTACACAGGAGCCAAATACAGGGGATAAACCTTATCTCTCCTCTTTAGGAACAAACTAATGTTTCCTCTGCCAGCACGTTGATGGTAGCAAACCACATAAGCATCAGAGCCTAAGCAAAAGATACCTGCCTCCTTCCTCCTCACCACGGAGCAGTAGCCTAAACCAACTGCCTTGAAAGCCAAGACTGAAGCTACCCAAATCAGCTTTCACCCCTAGGAGGCTATTGGCTATTTTTCAGTGCACTTTGTAGTTAACGTGATACATCCATCACCCAGCCATGCATGTCTTTATAAAGCACTGATCCAGATAGGCTCCCCTTCACCAGCAGCTCCACCAACAGCTGTAACATCATGGAAAAGGTGCAGATATTTTCCTGCATACAGAGCACAACACCACGGGCTGAACTCTGCCACAAGCTTTGTACATCCTTGGTGCCTCTCCTACCACCTACATTCACTTGCCTGTATTACTAGTACAGAGAGACCAAGGAGATGACAGCACTACTGCAAACTCCTGCCCACCCGATTACAACCACATTTTTCTCCCCTTTCCCCAGTCAGAGGCAGACGGAAGGGGAGGGATGACTTCCTCGGGAGGAAAATAGGGAAAGGCCGGGGCAGAGATCAAGAGAGGAGGAATCATCCCAAAGGGAGCGCAGATAATCTCTGAGAGGCGAGGCTGCGGAGAGGCATAACCGAGGAGGGAGGGACAGGGACAGAGAACCGGGGGGATAATCCGGCAGAGAAGGGGGAGGATAATCTCCTCGGAGGAGGGGGAGGCGGAGGATCCCGAGGAGGGAGGGGCGGGAAATCTGATAATCTCCAGGAGGAGAGAAAATACCGGGAAGGGGGTGGGGGAAGGAGGGTGGGCGGGTAGATAATCCGGAGCGGCAGATGAAGAGCGAGTCTCCCGGGGACGCATCCGGAGGCGGGAGGAGGAGGGTTAATCCTCGCTCTGGGGGGTAAAAATCCCTCTTCCCCGACCCCGGCTCTGCCATGTTCGCTGCCCTGCAGGCCCGCCTGGCACCGGTACCTGCGGGCGGCTCTTCCCTCCACTCACGCCACAAGCACACGGGGCGCCTCAGCTCCGGCCGCCGGGGCAGCGCGCCCCTCTCCGCCCGCCCCCGGGGCAAGGGGCTCGGCCGGGATCGCTGCGGGACCCCGCCTCCCCAACCACCATTTCCCCGCCGGCTTGAAGGGAGGGAGGGAGAAGCGGGCGGGCGAGCCCTCCCCCCTTCCCCACCCGCACACGCGACCCTCCTCGCCGGTACCGCAAACTCACCGGCTGGCACCGGCTCCCGCTCCCCGTCCCCTCCTCAGCGGGCGCCGCTCAGCCCCATCTACCGCCCCGGGCGCGCGGAGCCGCCGGCTGGCGGAGGGAAAGCGCGAGCCGCCGCCGCCGCCGTCCCCGCCGCTCTGCGCCCGCCTCGCCGCGCGCCGCCGGCTCGCCTGTAGCACGCGCTCCTCCTCCCCCGCCCCCTGCCTCCCCGCCGGGCGCGCGCGCGCGCGGGAGCGAGCGAGCGAGCGGCCTCCCCCGCCTCCCAGAGCAAACGGCCGGGCGCCTGAGGGGGCGCGCGCGCCTCAGCCTCGCGCGCCCCTCACCCCACCCCGCCCGCCTGCCCGGCGGCGGGCCCCGCCCCCCCCCCCCCTCAGTGTGCGGGAGTGTGGCTGTGAGTGTGAGGACGCGTGTGGGAGCGAACACGGGTGTCTGTCCGTGGGAGCGTGCGTGAGGGCAGGGCGCCGCTGTGCGCACCGGGTGGCGCGCGTGGAAGAGAGAGCGCCTGGGCGTGCCAGGGCGGGAGCTGGTGTGAGGCGGCACGTGCGTGCTGGCGTAAGGAGCAAGTGTGCGAGGGGGAGCGTGCGATGCGCGGCGCCGGCGCGCGAGAGGCGAGCGTGTGCCCGCGCGGGGGCGTGTGCCCGCCCCCCACGCCGCGCCGCGCCACGCCACGCCACGCCGCGGAGCGCGGGCGCTGCCCGGCGGGAGGGGGTGTCGGTGTGGGCCGGGGCAGGTTCGGACCCTCCGGGCGCGGCGGGCGCACGGCGGCGCCTCACTCGGTGGTGCCTGTTCAGTCCCCCCTGGCTGGAAGCGCTGGCAAAGCACAAGTCAAATACTTCAGAGGGGAAGGGGGCGCGGTGGGAATTTTCCCTCATACTGCTAACGTGCAAGACCACGGAGGTGGAAACAACAGTGAAAAACCGATTTTCCTGCACTTCTGATCACTGTTTACTTTAAACACTGTTTTGAACAGCAGTCATCGATTAGATTTCACTTTTTGCATCTGGTTGGTTTTGTGGAGGCGCTCACATTTGGCTACTGTTGGATTTACTGAAATTTGAGTTGCAAACACGCTCAGTCTTGCATGCCCAATTATCGCTAAAGCTGGGTAGTGTATCTGAGGGTGAAATTTGCCCCAGAAAATAAAATATTCCTGTCCAAAACAATACTTCATTCCTCAGCTTGTTTTCATTCACTTTTACCTTCTCTCACCGACTTCCCCAAAATTTTTAAGTCCAAGTCTACAGTTCAGCTGTATTCTATTTAATTATGCTGTTTTAAGAATACATGATAGCCGGGTATGACATATGGTAACCCTTAATAATAACCTGTCTGCAATTTGCAATGGCGTTTGCTTTGGGAGCCGCTGGGGAGAAGGGAAAGCCAGAACTATGTGGGGGTAGAGTTTGAACAGAAAATCCACCAGGTATTGATTTTCATTCTAACAGGTTCAGATTGTGCTTTCCTACCAGATAACAAACAAGCTGATTTTTATGCAATCAAAGGTATCCAAATAAGCAGCATATACATGATGGGCATAATTAAAGAAACTGTAGAACTGCAGCCAGCAGGTGAAAAACCTTTCTCAGACTGACCAGTAAAGATGCATCGAGTAAATAAGATCTTGCTATCCTCATTTTAGGAAACCACCATGTAAAATTCCTTTAGGAGCTATTTTTACTTACACTTTTCAAATTATAGTAGCTGCCTTGTGCTGAGAGCTTCACAAGCACATGGAATTATGCATCCCCAGGTCCCAAGACCTTACAGCCCTCCTGCGATTTCTCAGTAAAAAAAGTCCAAATTGAACATATTTTTGGTAATTTGCTTCAAAAGCAGTTATCTTTTCCTTATTAAACTGACAGGAAACTTAACTTGTCATGAGGGATTCTAAGCTAAGTAATGACCTACCACCCTTTCGGTGTTTGAACCCCTGCACTTACAATGGAAAAACTGACAGGCGTACAAAATCCTCACTCCCTGAAAAGTAACTCCAGATCTTTCTCTCTCCTTTGCCCCTCCTTTATTTTTTGTGATGTTCTAATGGAAAACCTTTTGAACCAGAGCCACAAAATGCATAACTGTCACCTTGTTCTGTATTTCACAGCTCAACATCTTGTTGACTTCTCTTACAAACTCTGCATTTGAGGAGGCTGAACCTTATTCTATTGAGAAGAAAGAGTTGTAGCAGTTTATGCTGGCATCTTCCATGATATCCTGACTTTCCATTCGTGGCCAATGAAAGAAAATCACTTCACTGCAAAACTTAGAGGTTCCTTATTACAGTTCAACTCCAAGCTTGAATCCAAACCTGTGAAACACGAGAGCCCATTTTTGGCTGTAGCAGAAATATCTAAGCACAAAGTACTTTGACTGCTCCACAGCCTTTTGAATGTCTTCCATTCTGGCCTCTGCAGCTGCTATTTGGCTATTAAAGCCCTTTAGGGAATGTATCCCAAATGCTCACACACCATTTTTTGCCCACGACTTAATCCATTTGACCCATTAGGGTCAAGGAAGAAACAGAGATGTATTGTTTTAGAGAGGAATTTAGAAATTGATGTTTACCCTCTGGCAGGAATTATCATATCCTTTTGGACTTTTACTACTTACATTTACATGCCGCTCATAACAGAAATCCCCCGTCCAAGGATGGTCATTAGGACCCTGATGGTGCAGTTCAATCTGATAGCTTTGCATCATTCCTGCAGTGCAAAAATGACTGTAAATCTCTCTTATCCGTTTAATGGGCAATTACTGCACTTCAGCCAAGCCTCACCCTGTTCCCAGTTTAGGGCAGAGAAGATGGGGACCTGGCCAGGGCTGACTTATGCCCCAGCAATTTCTGGCTAGTGATCATGGTCAACCAGGCATAAATTAGGATAGTGCCAAAGCCGAGTTGCTTTATGCCAGGGATTATCTCAGTCTCTGTCTAGCCACAGGATTCAGGGAGCATAAAGACTGCATGGTAGGTCAGCCCCAGCCCTCATACTTTTGGGCTGATAGATTAGTATTCACTTGAACTGGAGTTTATGACTCTACAGAGCTTTGAACTCTGCCTTTGATGATACAGATCTCACTCAAGCAAAGGATTTCTTTTACTATGAAGTCTGATGCTCCTCTCTGTAAAACTGCAGAGACTAGGGTTGCTAATGTTGTGACACTTCTCTGCTGGTGCTACAAGTAATATGGTAGAGGTCTTTCTCCAGGGTCTTTTGGTTTTGCTAGGGCTCCTACCCTTGATGTAGAGGGCTTAGAGGAGCAGACACTCCAGTGTACAAAATGTGGGAAGGAGGACGATGTGGTTTTCAGTCTCTTTACAGTTCTGAGTGTACAAACGGAAAACAAAACCTGTAATCACCATCAGTACTGTCAGATTTGCTTATTACTGGAGGAATGATCTACCATCTGATGTCAACTATGCCAAATTTTTCTTGGTCTTATGCTCTGCAGAATTACGGATCTGAATTCTGAATTCTCTGACACTGTCCTGATAACCATTTTAATGACAAAATGAACAGAGAGCTACTTCTTTGAGTTACTTCCCCTTTTTATATTTAATAGTTGTGGGGAACTGATATTGAGCACATAGAGTGAAGCACTTTGAGACAGTGCATTTTTTTAAATTAAGTTTTAAGCTGATTGCTGGCATACTCTACAAGTCCAGTGTTCTGTGTACTTTAGTTTACCAATGTCTAACTTGGATAATCAGTTGTTATGATCAGTCTTCAGACAGCTGGAACTCTAGACTACCTCTTTATTTGATAACCCCTAAAATATACTGTCTTCATCACCTGATAAACTACAGACAATAAAGTATCAGTTTCTTTGCTGTGTTTATCATAATTTGGGAATCTTATGACAGTAACTTATGTATCCACTGAGATCATTGTCATCAAAATAGTGACATTTTTTTTATGAAGTTCTTTGTGCCAAAGAAATGAGCTAGGGTTTTTTTTTTTTTTGATATACAATAAGATTTCATGTCTGTACAGAAAACACCATTCAAGATTTTCAAAAAGATCAAGCAAAGACAGCAAAGTCTGTAAGAAATTGCATGATTTTCCAGACTATCCCAGAGGAACTCATTAAAAGGTCACACGGATGATTACAAATATTGAAGATAAAATAAAAACAATTTTATTTTGGGGGAGGGTGATCAAAACCACAATAATTAGGAGGATGTTGATTTACATGGAAAGGCAATATGAAAGAATAAAAGGAGACAGTACCTACAGAGTTAAAAGGCTATATGTCTAATTCCTATGCCATTTTCATCACTGAGGTCTGTTTGCATGTGGAATTCAACTCCACAGGAGGAGATAATCAAGACAAATAGTATGGCTTTATTTTTAAAAGGGGTGGATAATTTCATGGCAGCTTACAACATTGGTAACTGGGCAAGCTAAGATAATAAGGCTAATCAAATCTCATGCTTCACAGCACTAGTTCCCTGCAGGGTCAGGAAAAATCTTTCCACTATATACAACACTATACAATTAGCAAGGTTATTATTGGGGAGCAGAGGTACAGCCTTCTAAAGCAACAAGCTTTTACCATTATTAGAGAACAGAGGCTGTACTTGGCCAGATAAAGAGCATTATTTTCTTATGCCACTTCTGCTCCTCTTCCCTGTCAGAGTTTTAGAATTACAACACTTGGATTTGTTAAAAAAGAAAATATTTCCCCTGAACATGATTATCTAAATGCATAACTGTCTGAAATCCATCAAAAACTTTTACACCTGTGACTGGTAGCCCAGTCCGGAAATGGCTGTCACTGACTGAACAGAGGAATGGTATTGATTAAGCTGTTGCAGGTTGCAAGTTCACATTGCCCTCTGGTTATGTCAGTAATGTTACAGAATTTGCTTCTCAATAGTGGTTTAGGCAGAAAGACATAGTCCCAAATGATGATCAGCTCTTAACTAGGAGCTGGAGTGACATGTGTTTGGAATATTTAGTTTTGGAAGTACTGTTCATTTTCTTTAATTGCCTGAACATATTGTTGTAGGTGTTCTGTGTGTATACTTAAATTTTATTTTCCATCAGTGTGTGCATCAGAGAAATTATATTAGCTGCAATTGAAAATATTTAGCTATTTTTGCTGCAAAATTTACGTTCTGTATGTGAAGGTGATACTCTTTACAAGTT